AAGTTCTGAACGCTAAGAGCAGTTCCTGACTGGGGATAAATCACTAAGTACAGTCAGTAGAGCATTCTTGAGCAGTTTCTTCCACAGATTTAGTTCTCTAAGCTCGCGGGCAGTGGCACTTCGTCAACAACATAAGCTGAGTTTTCTTTGAGAGCGGGAGCGGTGCTGGGGCTTGCAGTGGCCTGAAGCCCGGCCGGGTGCTGGCGTGGCCGGAGTTGGCACGCTTCCTGGCGTTTTCCAAGAGGACGTGGTTTTCCAGGCCTGTCCGTCCAGCCGCCCTGGCCCTGGCTGCCCCCGTGACCTCGGCCCATTACCTCCAAGCTCTCGGTGTCTCCGGCTCCGCTCCCCCTCAAGGGGCTGAATCTCACATCCCTCGTTGGCTCCTGTTTGTCCCTCTTGTTCTACTTCATAATCCCCTCTTCTGTCCACACTTGGCCAGATCAAGTCGATGAGGATCTCAGACTGAGGGTAAAAATGAGGCACTTTGTGCAGACCTCATGGTTTCCAACCCTGTATCCCCGGTAGCAGCATCACCACTTTCCTGTTCCAGCGTTTCCATGAGATCACGAGGGCCTCCTGCAGCTACTCAGACCATCTCAGAGTCACGTCCAGGGGGCCGTGGGGAGGGGACAGGTGCTGGCCCTGCCGCTTACTGGCAGGGGAACACAGCAGTGACTGGGGCAGAGGGGACCCCATGTGAAGAGTCGTGAGCTCCGCGTAGAGGAGGTAACTCGGTCAGGGTAAAAGGTAGTTAACCCAGCATAAGCAACTGTTAACAGGTTTGATGAGTAGTTCACCTGGTATGAAGAAGAGCTGACCCATTATAGAGGATTGTTACCAGGCATGAAACATTGTTAACTCAGCATAAAAAAATTAACCTGGTATAATGAGTAGTTAATCAGGCACAAAGAGTAGTTAAGCTAGGCATGAAGAATAATTAACTGGTGTAAAGAACTGTTAACCAGGCATAAAGAATAGTTAACCCAGTATAGAGGATTGTTAACTCGGCATAAAAAGTGATCTGGAATAAAGAGTGGGTCAGCAAGGCATGGAGACTAATTAACCTGGTATAGAGAGCAGTTAGCTGGGCATGATGAACGGTTACCCCGTCCTCAAAAGGTTGCTGGCGGAGGCTGGAAGGCACCGCTGGCTCCTGGAGGAGGAGGTTGGAACAATTCACACCTGGGTTCCTGCTGGAGGTCTCATCCCCCAATACGGGGTCTTGGGAACAGAAGCCACAGTGCAGGAGGCTTGATGACCTGCCCAGGAGACCTGGCCCATTTCCCAGGAAGGTCTGAGGTCTCCCCTGGGACGCTGGTCCAGGGCAGAAGAGGTGGGGATGGCCCACAAGAAGCCTGCTTGTCTGGGGAC